TCCGCGCACAGTGAGTACCGCGCGGGGCCGCGGCGCGGGCTGAGGCGGGAGACGCCCCCGCCCAAAAGACCCGGCCACCTCCGGGGTGTCAGGGGCGCGCCGGTGCCCGGCCCCGTGTGCCCCGGCCCCGCCGCCGCAGCATCCCCGGGTCCGCGGCTGGGAGGACGGAGCTGCGGGGCCGGGTTGACGGCGTGTCCCTGCTCTCTCCCCGCCTCCGGCAGCCGTGATGCTGCGGGCGCGCGAGGCGGCGCAGTTTCTGCGGCCCAGGCAGCGCCGCGCCTACCAGGTCTTCGAGGAGGCCAAGCAGGGCCACCTGGAGAGGGAGTGCATCGAGGAGCTGTGCAGCCAGGAGGAGGCCCGGGAGGTGTTCGAGAACGACCCCGAGACGGTGAGCGCGCGGGGAGGTGGGAGGTGTGCGCGCGGCGCCCCGGGATTCCGCGGCTGGGCGGGACCGGGATGCGGCATTCGGGCAGCCAGGTCACCTGGAGCGCTGTCTCTGCAGCACCGCATTTCTGGGGACATCCGTCGGTGCGCGCGGGTGGGGAGCCCCGGGTTTCCTCTGCACCTCAGACTTCCCTTCCCTCAGTCTGCGGCGCGTCCTTCATGTGGGGGACCGGGCTGCAGGTCACACCCAGAACCCTTAATAGGCAGGCGTTGCGTTCAGGAACGGTGGAAGGGCAAGGCCATAGGTACCGGACCCTGGGCCCACCCTCAAGCCTCCTCCAAGCCTTTTGAGCCCCAGTTTTCCTGGTGACCCCAGGTGCTCCGTGAACTGGGGGGGAGAGGCAGGTGTTTGAGTGGGGTCCTGTTGGGACCCTGCAGTTGTCTTCCGGCAGCAGGCCTCTGGAGGCGGCCGCTTCAAAGGAAATGCGCAACAGAGGACACCCCCACCGGCATGAAATAGAGGCGGTTTTAAAATGTAAAAGAAACACAATGGTTGAAAAACCCAGCTTCCTCCCTCACCTCCGCTTTAGCTGGACTGGAGGGGAGGGGTGGGGCTGCCCGAGCTCCTGATCCTCATCTGGAGGAGTTGGGAGATGTGACAGCTGGAATCGCCGCGGCAGGTCCCGAGGTGTGACTGCAGGAACAGCGCTGGAAGGCGTCTGTGGGGGCGCGCGGGCAGGGGCGTCTGGAGGAAAGCAAGGAAGAGCCGGCGCCCGGGTGCGTGTGCAGCCTCTTTCAGCGAGGTGCTCTTTTAGAATCGGCTGGCGAATTCAGGAGCCTGACCGGCTGGCTCAGGACACTTTTCTGTTAATAATGTCCTTGGAGAATGTGGTGTGGCCGGGCAGCCTCCGCAGGGAGCAGCCCAAGTGTGGACTCAGCGTCTGCGCAGGAACTGTGCCATCTTGAGGGAGGGGAGCCGCGTCTTGAGAACGTTCGCGGTGGGTGGGACCGGTGGGAGCCTGGATGTCTGCCTGTCCCGGGGCAGATGACTCTGGAAAGCAGGCATGACAGAAAGGGGGTGGATTTACCTCCAGTCATTTTAAACAGTGAGGTCACAGTGATTTCACAGCTGTTTTTGGTTCTACCAGAATTTTTCTTTTAAAGCATTCTGCTGGGATGAAATACGCATCGCACGCAGTGAACGAATGGTTCTGTGTGACCATGTAGGCTTTTCTTTTGACTGGTATTTCTGGTTGGTTGACTCGATAGTCCTTTTAGGTCCCCTTTCTGAAGCAGGCTCGGAAATATGGACTGCCACTGTGCGGTCTTGGCGCAGCTGTGGCTGCTGTGACCAGGCCTTCTCCCCCGGCCCCGTGACACATGGTTTCCATCCTGCTGTGTGGAGCAGCTTTCTCGGCCTTTCTGGCCTCCCTGTTTTCTCCTTTCGTTCATAATTAAGCCTGGTGGCCCCGTGAATCGTGCCTCTGCAGAGCACTTCTGAAGGTCTTAGTGGAGGGCTGGCCTGGCTGCCCAAGGTCACTGCCTGGCCGCGCGGTTGTGACAGGTGCCATGCTCTCCAACCTCAAGCCTAACCTGGAATGTTAGCTTGGACAGAGTGTGGGCTGGGGCTTGCCGATGACAAGAGTTGAGAGCACGAAGACCACCATGCACCCCACCTGCCCCTACCCACCCAGGACGGACAGGCCAGGACCTGGCCTTTCCTCGCTGCGTGGACAGACTGTGCTCTAACCACTGTGCCACTCTTCCCAGAACGTTAATCTTCTCTCTGGTTTTAACTGTTTTTATGTTTTAATTATAACTTTATTTACAAGTATGTGAAATGAAGACAGAAAAGGAGGAAAGTGCTCATGATCCCATAACTTTAACACAACCTCCGTCCTTCCTGCATGTTTCTGCGAGGGGCCTCCCGCATTCCCTCAATGTCCTGGCCCCCCTCCCGTCTGAGGCACAGCCAGTTGCTCTAACGCTGGGAGCGTCCTCGCTCACAGTCGGCCCATGGGGAGTTTGCAAACTCCTTTTCACATCAAAGCCACCCATAATTTTCCAGAATTCTGTTCTCCTTCCCAACCCCTATTGCCAAATAGTGATAACATCTTCTCCTTTATTTGTCAGTTTCCCAAGGTGGACCAGCCACTTATGTCTCTTCCCCCGTGTCAGCTGGACTGCAAGCCTTCATGTGCATCTTGTGTAGACCATTGTGTGGACCCAACTATTGTGTAGACTGTTGTGTCGACGGTTGTGTAGACCATTTGCTTCATTGTCTGGATTTGGCCCTTGGCTTGTTTTCCTTTTCCTGGAGAGGCAGTGTGGACAGCTGGGAAGAACCAGGTTAGGGTCAGGGTTAGGGGTAGGGGTTAGGTGTTAGGGGTAGGGGTTAGGATTAGAGGTTAGGGTTAGAGTTAGGGATTAGGGTTGGGGGTAGGGGGTAGGGTTAGTGTTGGGGTTATGGTTAGAGGTTAGAGTTAGGGATTAGGATTAGAGACAGGGTTAGAGGTTAGAATTATGAGTTAGAGTTAGTGGTTAGGAGTTAGGGTCACGGTTTGGGGATAGAGGTTAGAGGGTTATGGTTAGGAGTTATGGAGCTGGTTTGAGTCCCAGCTCTGCTCTCATTAGGGTTAGGTTCAGGGTTGCAGGTTAGGGTTAGGAATTATGGGGCTGGTTGGAGTCTTAGCACTCCTTGGGCTGAGGTCCCGACCAACTGAAGTGGCTGCCTGTAGGAAATACCTGTTCCCTGCAGTCCCCTCTGGGGCTGGTCCGTCCTGCCTCTGCCTTGCAGTCCGCCGGGTCAGGGTACTGGAAGTGGCCGGTTTCTCCTTGTGTCTCGTTCAGTTGTCATCCCACCTGCCTGGCCCAGCTCTGCCTTGTGGGGCGTTTGCAGCCCTGCTCTTTCCTGCTGGCAGAAAAGGCAGTGCTGGCGCCCGCTCTGATTCCTGGGGCTCCGGGGGCCCTGGCAGAGGAAGTCCCGGGGTGGAGCTGGCTGGGCTCGGGCGCCTGGAGCCAACTTCTGGGCTGCAATCCCTCCCGGAGCTTGACGGTCTCACCGTGTTCTGGCTGTTCCCCGGGGGTCTTCCTGCCTGATCGGGGTCCTTCCACACTGGACTGTCTTCCTCTGTCTTAGGGAGAAGGCACCTGACCGTCAAGGCTCTCCGCCTCTTGGCAGGTGGCTGTTAGCCTCACTCACCTCTGCTGGAAAGGGAGCCCTGGCCGCCTTCCTGACCCCCAGTGTCCTCCGGCTTCCCTCTTGGGGGCAGGTGGCCTCCCCCCATTCTTTCGGCTCCCATGGGAGTGTCCCAGGTCCCATAGTTGCTTCTGCTGATGGCCTGTCCCTCGTCTGCAGGGCCTAGGCTCCTCATCTTGTTTCCGTGTATCGTTGGTGTGTCTTCCCTGCTTTTCCTCCTGTGGCTCCTCATTCAAGCGACCCTGGGCGTGAACCCCTAGTCCTCTTTGCTTCTATTCTCCTGAGCTCTCTCCCAGTTCTCCCCACACCAGCCCAGCAGCTGCCTTTCTACCTCAGTCCTTTAAGGCAGCAGGTTCCAGACGCGGGACACCTCAGTAATTGCCCTTTGCCGCCAGGGAGGATTTTATCCCAGCCCGGCCTGCTCGGATATGTTTCACACCTCGCGGCATCTGGGTCCTTGCCAGGCAGCTGACCCACGGCCTGGGCCTGTCTTTAGGAAGACAATTCCGGGCCATAGTTCCGCCAGAATTACCCCACCACCTTGTGTAATTTGAGATACAAACAACAATACTCGCAATGCAGCCCAGGGCTTCACAGCAGAGGTGCTGACAGCCGGCCTGTGCTCTAGCTGGTTGGTGTTCATCCATCCTGTCTCTGTCTTTGTCTCTCTGTCTGTCTGTTTCTCTGTCTCTGTTTCTCTCTTCTTTCTATCTCTGTCTCTCTCTCCCATCTCTCTCCCCCCACCCCCCAATCCTCCAGTCCCCCCTCCAGCTCAGTCAGACGTGGGGGGACCCAGTGGTGGTGCTGGGTTGTCTACTAGGAGGGTTTTGGGGTGCAGTCAGTTTCAAAGCCGCACGCTGCTGCTGGCCTCGTCTTGAACTGCATCTGTCCTCCAAGGACACGTGTCTTCCTGAGGTCCCAGGTTCTCTGGGGACAGTTTGGGGAGGGGCTCCCCTCAGAGGTGAAAGCTCCTCCCTCAAGTTGTCCATTGTTGGGACAGCCTAAGGGGTCTCGTGGGGGCAGAAGTGGGGTCCCAGCAGGGGGCTGGGGAGGGAGGAGGAGGGGGACCACCTCATCACCCCAGTGACTTGCCTCTGCAATGCAGGTCCCTGGCCAGGGAGGTGATGCCCTGGCTGTGACCTTCAGGACAGTACCTGCTGCCCACCTGCCCCCCACGTTGACACACTCAGACACACACACATGCACACACACAGACGTGCACATGCACACACTCTTCTCTTGTGACTTGGGGGTCCATTGAGAATTGGGACCAGGCACCCCTGCCCCGCACAGGCATGGCCCAGCTCCTTCCTCGGGGTTCTCTCCGCACGCTCCGGAAGCATCTCACCCTAGGGACATGGCTCCTGCTCCCCCTGACCCTGCGGCTGCGGCCTTCCCTGCTGGGCTGTCACGCTGGCTGCAGGGGCTGGGTTCTCTGAATTGTCGTTTGACCGGTTGTGCTTCTCCAGAGTCAGCTCCTGCAGAGGTTGCAGATGGCTGGTTAGACCAGGGCCAGCGCCTAGGCCCCCAGCACCCAGGCCGGCCGCTCCCCTCGGGGGACCTTGAGCCAGGGACAGGCTCTGCCCGCTACTCCCTCCCTTGCCCGTGCACCTGCATATCTGTCTGTTTTGACCCCAGGAGTCTGCAGGGACACAGAGCCGGGCTCTCCAGCGTAGGAACAGGCCAGGCCCTGTAAATCACGCCTCGTCCTCACCAGTGGGCTCAATCTCTGCAAAAACCAATTAAAGGCATTTTGAAAAACACTGAACGTCTGCCTTTGTTATTTAGGAACAAAACAGCCTTTT